CATGGGGGGGGGGGCATTCCCTGTGACTGCTTATATGCATATACTGTAGGTTTGTGTTTGTGTGTGCATCAATAGGGAGGATAAAGCTTGGTATTGGTCCCACCACAGAATTTTAAACACCTTTAAGTTTAAATTGTGAATTTGTTAATGAATGCCATGAGATGTGGGTTAAGTAGCTACTGAGTAAATATTATTCCGTGTGTTCCTAAGGCCAAGAATGAACTTTTACACTCAAGTGAAAAATCCTGTGATTACCTCATACATGTTACAATAATTTCTTAAGTTTTTTTCATATTGTCTTCAGAAAAAGCTGGAAAAACTCCTGTACATATATCCTTAAATAATTCCTTATCTTTTGTAAAACTGCCTTCATAACCAGCTAAAAAAAATAAAGCACCAGTTGAGGTGCAAAAGTTTCAATATTGAAAAAGAGAAGATGCGATGATGATGAACACTGTGACATTGGCTTCCTGCTTCCAATCAACATTACATGCTCGGACGCCACCAGAAAGCCAAAATCAAGAATAGGGGAGAACGGGGTTGATTGTCACATGGTTTGGTTGTCATATTCATTAGATTTCGCTCACTAGAGGGTGCTGTTAAAAGATGTTGGTACTGAGATTATCAGAATTGGGGTCAGAGGTCACCTACACAGGGATTCCAGGAGTAGGACACTCTCTCACAACGGGTTTATAATAAAATAATTATTATATAAGTATGAAGGGAGAGCTATAGTTTATATTAGTTTAACTGGGCTACAACATGTGGCTGTTAGCTTAGTTGCTATAGTAAAAAATCCCAGTTGGGGATGCTTGTTACATTGTCTTTAGGGATGAGTTCTAGTACTATTGTTCTTTGTATTATTCTTTATGTTGTTATATAATGATAAAAAAATGCACTTATAGGAAGATGGTTTTTGCTGTTTCTGTTTTCTTGATGCAGGAGATGTGTTAGGTTGTTGCATTTCAATGAAATTAAACTTTTTTAATTCATTTTAAATCCATGATGGGGATGGTTGTGTGACAACCAAACCCAGTTCTCTACATAGAACAGGGTAGATTGGTGACCACAACATCTCCAATTCAAATCCAGATGGACACCCTTGTTGCATGCAGTCTCTGTCCCTGTCACCAAAGTGTCTGATGAAAACGCCACAGGATACACGCCGATCAGAGGAGACAGGTTCATGCATTAAAACAAAACAAAATGCCATGTGTCAGAGCAGCTGCTGCTCCAATAATAATGTCATCTTGACATTCACAAGAAGAATATATTCGCATAAAGGTAGGTGACTAAAACATGCATTGATTCAGAAATACCCTTAAAGCTGCTTTATTTTGATTGTTTTGCCACTTGGGGGTAGACGACAATCTAATCTGACATATCACCTTATTAAGTTGTTACAGCTTGCCATTTACACCTGCAGCAGACACAGGACAACATAAGCATTTATTTGGTGTTTTTGTCCATCTGATGAATAATATTCAATCTCCCTTTGGCTGGTTTCTATCTGCGAGGGAGGAAGTGTAAGGAAAGTAAAACTGAACACTGAAATTAATTATTTATAATGATTACTGGCTGTGTGTTACAAGGTGTTACTGTAATTCCACTACTTTTGCAATACCTATGAGTATACCTATTTATGTTTTCAAATTAAATAACACAATTACAAGTACAGAAACTTAAATGGGCTCGTTACTTGGTACTTTTGTCTATTTCGAAAATAATTGACAACTGCAGAGAAAGGACGTCAGACAAACGCAATGCATCCGACGAATCCCCAGTTTATGATCAAACGTCACCTGACGGTGGTCCAGGCAATGTGAGCTTGCTTTCCATTAGAGCGACTGTATTGTTTCTAATATAAACTGAAGAATCTAACTAGCAAAGCTGGTTCAAGATGTAAATAAACTGCCCGTCCCAAAAAAAAGTCGCACACTCTAATATCGTTGTACCGCATTTAGCTTTGAGTACGGCACGCATTCGCTGGGGCATCATTTCGATAAGCTGCTGCAATGTCACAATATTTATTTCCATCCAGAGTTGCATTCATTTTCCGCCAAGATCTTGTATTGATGATGGGAGAGTTGCGCCACTGCGCAGTCTTCTCCAGCATTACCCAAAGATTCTCAATCGGGCTGAAGTCTGGACTCTGTGGTGGCCAATCCATGTGTAAAAAGGATGTCTCATGCTCCCTGAACCACTCATTCACAATGTGAGCCTGATGAATCCTGCCATTGTCATCTTGGAATATGCCTGTGCCATCAGGGAAGAAAAACTCAATTGATGGAAAGACCTGGTCATTCAGTATATTCAGGTAGTCAGCTGACCTCATTCTTTGGGGACATAACGTTGCTGAACCTAGACCTGGCAAACTGCAGCAACCCTAGATCATAACACTGTCCCCTCAATCTTGTATGGTAGGCACTAGGCATGGTGCATCACTTCATCCACCTCTCTTCTTACCCTGATGCACTGATCACTCTGGAACAGGCTAAATCTGGATTCATCAGACCACATGACCTTCTTCCATTGCTCCAGTCCAGTCTTTATGCTCCCTAGCAAATTGAAGCCTTTTTTTCTGATTAGCCTCACTGATCAGAGGTTTTCTTATGACTACACAGCTGTTTAGTTCCAATCCCTTGAGTTCCCTTCGCATTGTGCGTGTGGAAATACTCTTACTTTCACTGTTAAATATAGCTGTGAGTTCTACTGTTGATTTCTTACGATATGATTTTACCAAACGTTTAAGTGTTGTCCGATCACGATCATTCAAGAGTTTATTTCGGCCACATTTCTTCCTCGCAGAGGAGGGTTCACCACTATCCTTCCAGGTTTTAATAATGCATCGGACAGTTCTTAACCCAATTTTAGTAGTTTCAGCAATCTCCTTAGTTGTTTTCTTTGCTTGCATGGCAGACCAGAAATTGACCTTCTGAAACTGATTAACATCCTTTTCCACGACCCACAGGATATGTCTTGCTGATTATGTTGTTTAAGAAATGAGAAGAGCTACTCACCGCATCAGCTAGTAGGAGATAAACTTGTTGCAGCTGAAACCATATTATCACCGCAAGTAGATACCCAAGAAGCTCTTAACCAATGTGTTTTAATAAGTAGTGGTGACTTTCCTTGGACGGCAGGTGTAAAAAGGGAAGGAAAACATGATTTAAGGTAGTGTCATTCACATTATCGGTTTAATTTGAGATGTATAGATCACAAGTGCACAAGTTATAAATAGGCTTTTTAGAACCTGCGTAAAAAAGGTTTTCTATGCTCACTATCGTTTATGAACTGAACGTAAGTACACCATTAGAAATTATCTTAAGACTCAGTTCAAGTATTAAAAATCTAAGTTAATACCTCTTTTAATAAATTAACAGGCCACCGGTCTGACTAGCCTACCATATTAAACTCCCACCATTACCTGAGCTGCAGTAGGTAAAACACTTAAACTTATAAACTTAAATTAAACTTTTTTGTCATAATTAGCTGAACTTTATACTATCACATAGCAGTTGGTAATGAACTCCTAGTGCTGCTAATGACATTTGCAAGAATTCGTCAGACCTGAATGAAAACAACCAATTACAGCCAAGAAAGATAGTTGATTGTTAAGTCTTATTTCCAGGTTGTGAAATATCGGTGCTGGGACTCAACAATCATCTTCAAGCAGCTAGCCCATAGCACCTGTCCAACAGTTTTAGGTCATATTAGATAGTAGAGTAATATCATGTGTCAGAGGTGTGTGTTTGGATATCAGCTGTCAAATTATTTTCTATCTCTGTTTACATGTGGAAACCCCCTGATAACAATGCAGGCGAAGCAGGTGTTGGTGGATTTGAACAGTCCTCTGAAGGATTTAAATCCCTCTTGTAATTATACTGCAGCCCCATATTTATTATTA